ATCGCCAAGAAATAGTATATTGCCAATTTTTCTGCTTCAAATTGAAATTTTCAAATTTTTCCAAAATTTCCGGTAAATTACGATTTTTACCGTAATTTACGGTAACATTGATTGTTACCGGTAATTTCGCAACCCTAATTAATACAGAGCACCCTTTCTGATTTTGAACAAAATCCTCGCCGCCTACATGGAAAATATGTTCGCTCTGTACGCAGTGCTTGGAAGAATTTCTGCCGTGCATAGTTCACTAGAAGAATTTATGCGGGCCTTGTTACTAATGCAACGCTTCTACCTCCGCAGTGTTACACACACAACAACCTCGGCTGGAAGATCCACGTCGTGGACGCCGGGTACCACTCCCAGCGGAACAGTAAAAACTTATCTGCCGGGGCGGCGCGTCCTCGGGCGGGTCTCTGCTCCGGCCTCCTAGTCCTGGCCCTAGCCTTGGGCCTGGCCTCGGCACTCACCGTGAGATGAGCAGCCGTTGCCGTTTGTTGATTGATACCCAATTTTTCTAAGCAAATTGATTGTGATGTTCGTTAAGGTTTCGTAGGAAGATTGTTTTGGCGGGCCGTCCCTCGCCGTGGACGTCGCTGGTGCTCACTTTTAAAAAAGGAATTACGTTACCTGCGATCGTACTGTTGGAATTTTTTGTATAAGTGGCTGGTACCACGCGTTGTATGCCGTTCAAAATTAATTAAATTTTGTTATGTGTAATTTTGAACCGATCGTCATGGTTTTGAAATTGCTCGTAACGGGCAGGAAAAGTATCCAACAGAGCTTAAAGTAGAATCCTGGTGCCAAAATGGTGAATTCTGACAATAATAACTTCTTGATATATTTTACGTTGGTGACAATAATTTTCACTAGTATTAAGGTTAGTATATTGGCATACGGCAATTAACTGTGAATATACGATAAATGATAATATTTGAGAGCCTATTTAGAAAAGCACTAAGAACCATGGTCTTGTTTGACAATAATTTTGGGGCTTTACACCATTATATGTTTCTAGAAATGTAATTTTTTACGTCCTATTGTGAATATTCCATTAAGACATTGTTGTTTTCAAAATTTATTGCGGTTGTTGATTTTTGACACGTTTGCGCGACATTGGTCAATTTTATTATCGCAGTCAATTTGTATTTAATTCTAACGTAAATTTCGTGGTGCTTTTGTCTATAATTTGTAAAAACTAACTCTGGTAGCTTAAAATATGAGGGGGACGGGGATCTCGGAAAACTGGTTCTTATTCGTTATCGCGTTAACTCAAAAACAGTCTACAATTTAATGTTCTGTTGCTCGTGGTTTAAAAAAGAGTTTGCAGCTTTGATTCATTTAACAGACCCAGTGGGAAATGGTGGTCGAAACGAAACCCTTTCAAAATGGAGCCAAAACTTGCGTAACTATGTGTACAAACTAAAATTTAAACACCTACATTGCAGAAATTTATGGAACCATCCTTTGCACGTCAATGTCTAGTTGGTAAGTTCCCTTCTTTATATGGAGTTTGCTTTACCAAATGCAGATGGTAGGTGGGATGGCTGATAGCAACTGACCAGGCGCTTAGAATTTGGTTTAGGGAACGGTCAAAGAATGATTGACAAATTATACACGCGAATGCACAAATTTGTGGCATCACGTGCTTGCATGTGGTACAGACATTCGGGAAAACACCATAGTTTGATCTAA